GAGTCCAGGCTTCCTGTTCCCAGAGCCCCTAGAGGCCCAGCTGCACCTGCGTCCTTCTGGTAAACTCCCAGACTGCATCCCCTAACTCCAGCTGGGTTTCTGTCACTTGCCATCAAGAACTGGGACTACCGGGATCCCTGGGTGGCACAGCGGTTTTGGGGCCTGCCTTTGGCCCAGGGCGCGATCCTGGAGACCCGGGATCGAATCCCACATCGGGCTCCCTGCATGGAGCCTGCTTCTCCCTCTGCCTGTGTCTCTGCCTCTCTCTCTCTCTGTGTGTGACTATCATGAATAAGTAAATAAATAAATAATAAAATCTTAAAAAAAAAAAAAAAGAACTGGGACTACCCCCCAGTCACCTCTTCTTTTCCAGGAGAGAAGAGCTTCGTGTTGCAGAAAAGAATCAGTCAGAACTCTTGTGGTAGCAAGGGCAAAAACCCAGCTCAATCAGCTTAAACACAAACAAATACATAAGTAAATAAAAATGCCTTGGCATAAGTTTGAAAAGTCACAGTTAAAGCAGGCAATCCAATGGTGTTCCCGGGCTCGCAAGCTCTCTAACTCCCCTGCCTCTTGGTTCTCCTTTCTTGCTCATTGGCTGCACGCTCCCACAGCCATCTGCATGTGGCAAGGAAGGAGCTGGGCCCCCAGATTCCAGGGCCCCTGCAGCTCCTCCTCTCAGGGGTAGAGGGGCCTCCCCTCCTGCCAACACCCACAGATCTCACTGAGGAACTCCGACTGGCTCACATGCCCACCCTTCAGTCCAGTACAGAGCCGATAGGCACCCAACTGGGCATCTAGGGGCCAGCAGCCTCTGTGCTTGGGGGTGGTGGGGTCAGGAACCACACAGGGTGGGGGGAAAGACAGTGTCCGAAGGCAGAGGAGAGACGTGGTAATACAGTTTTACATCGGATGGATGTGGGTCAAGTCCCAGGCCAGTCACTGAGTGCTTGGGTGGCCCTGAGCAAGCTACTTGAACCTTAACTTTTTCATCTTTAAAATGGGGAATCACAACTGGCTTTTCAGGATTGTTGCAAGGATTAAGATAAGGAAGCCCTCCGAGAACGTATGGGTGAGCCTGCCAACCCCACCGCAGCTAATGCCGCCCTACCACCCCTGGTGGCTTAGGTTAGGATACAATCACCACACAGGAAATTGCTTCTTTCTCTTTCTTTTCCCAACAGGCTCGGTCAGACTGTCATGAAGTCAGGCCGCACCCCCCAGCCCCCCACTCTCAGGGTGAGTTTCTTCTATGCTCTCATGCCACAACCCACAGTCTAACAGTTCAAGAGTCTGGGGTAGGGTAAGCTGGACCTAGGACAGTTTAAAGAGAAACAGCCCTGGTGACAGGCCTCAAGCTTGTGGAACTTCTAATTTGAAGTAGCAAAATCTGACTCAAAATTTTATTATTATTGGACACCTGGGTGGCTCAGTGATTGAGCGCCTCCCTTCGGCTCAGGTTGTGATCCCAGGGTCCTGGGATCGAGTCCCGCGTCGGCCTCCCCGCAGGGAGCCTGCTTCTCCCTCTGCCTGTGGCTCTGCCTCTCTCTGTGTGTCTTTCATGAATAAATAAATAATTTTTCTTTACTTTATTATTATTAAATTAACACTGAATTCCTTTTGCTATTCACTGTTTCTTCTCTCTCTCTTTGCCTTGGGAGAGGTCATGTGGCCATTTGCCAGTGGTGACATCTTCCCAGGAAGAAATGACAACATCTGTCTCCCTACCCAGGCTGGCCATCATATAACCAGGGTTAATAGACTGAGTGTTCGTGCCCTGGAAGGAAGGGGATCCCAGCTGGGAACCTTCTAGTGGACCCTGGGCTATTCCTTCTAGCCAGAGAGAGTGAAGTGAGGGAAAATATGGGACTGAGTTGACAGAGCTTTTGGGGTGGAGGTAAAGTAGGATAGGGCAGTGGAGAAGATGGGACCTGGAACCTGGAGGCCAAGGGCCCAGAGCCCTTAGCAAAGGAGTGTTCTCACTTTGGGGTTCCCTGCAAAAGGCACGTCTGAGGGCTGGCCCCAGATGCCTCCCATCACAACCCTCCTATAAGTACTTGCTCCACTTGAATGTCCTGAGGGTGAGAGCAAGCCTGAAGCCTCATCTTCACTCAGTGACCCTGTGGCACCTCCCGGCTCCTATAAGACCCCATAACCCCTGTGCGTACAGAGGAGCTCCTGCACCCCAACTCGCGTCGAATAGCACTCCTTGAAGAAGTAAAAGAGAACACTATCCCTCCTCCTTCCCGTCACCATCACTGTCCCCACCCTGTCCCCTGAGGCTTTCCTGTGCCCCATCACCAACCCCCACCCCCTCATCCTCACTGATTCCTCCCTCACCCTCAGATAAAGAGCTGTTTTTAGGACCTCTGCAAGCCCTGGCATCTTTATTTTTGACAGCTTCACCCCATATCAGTGCAAACATATTAAAATATTAAAAATCTGCTGTAAATATTTTTGAAAGGATATTTATAATTTTGCTCTTGAAACCATTTGGCTGGGAGTAACTGATTTAAATCACAATTGGGAATTCTTGTAAAACCTAGCCCACACACTCCTTCAAATGTAATGAAAATTTTATGAATACTAAATTTAACAATTAATGAGGTTGATATAATGTTACAGTTGGACATTTGATTAAGAATTTATTGATTTCAATTTTGCAGCGTAATGATTTTAGAAGCAATAATTCTGTTTCGGCTGTCCAATACTCACACTGTCCCCTTTGGGGGGCTCGGGCCATGGGTTCCTCTCATGGGTAACATAGAAGTAACCCGGACCAGTAGGCGTCCCCTATCTTCCACCCAAAGCATGTGCACCTTCACACACACACACCGTAGAGAGAAACGTCACCTTGGCTGGACTGTGGAGCTGGAGTCCAGCTCCCGATGGAGAAGACAACGGAGCCAAGTAAGAGCACAGACCGAAGCGATGTCTCCATGTCTCGTCAGGTGAGAAAGGACTTCCTTCCTTAATGCAATCAGTGGCTGCAGCTGCTGAGGGCACAGAGTCCGAGACAAGCCGGCCTCAGGGGTGGGCACAGACACATTTCCCTCCTGAGGACGGTGAGCACTGGCGCGGGAGAAGGGCCCACTCACCCTGATTTCTGCAGCCAGCCACAGAGCGCTTCCCAAACCCGTGTGCGGACTTCAGTGGACAGGTGGACGCGGGGCGGGGGGCTCGGGACCGGGAGAGACTTCTCCGTGGCACCAGGGCAGTGCCCCACCAGGATGGGGCAAAGGCTGACACAGCGACACAGGCAGCCCTCCAGGCAGACACACCGAGGGTGGGGAGACGGGGCAGAGAGGGGAGGAGGAAGGGGGAGGCCTGGCTGCGGGCAGGGACCAAAGCGGGAAGGGTGCCAGCGCTCAAGGGAAGGGAAGCGTCTCCTGGGGTCGCAGGACCTCTGGGTCAGCAGCCGCTGGGTGTCAAGGCCAGCCCAGGGGTGGGAGGGAGGGCGCCAACTTCTCCGAGGTCACCAAACCTTCTGGAGGCAGAGGGGTATGAAGGGGGCTGTGCGCTTGGTAAGAAGCTCCCAGTGCCTCAGCCTCCCCTTGGAATCAGAGGGAGGGGCTGGGCCGAGGCAGAGAAAGGCCACTCTGTGCTCGCTCCAATGTCACCGGGTGTATCCAGGTGTCCCCACCACTTACCTGCCCCGGCCTTCCCCCAGCCTGTCAGCGCCTCTGAAGTTGAACACTGTGCCACTAGGTGGAGCCAAAGCCCACGACAACGGCGCTGGACTGGGCTGGACTGGGTTGGACTGGGCTGGGCTGGACGGGGCTGGACGGGGCTAGACTGGGCTGGACTGGGCGGGACTAGACTGGACTAGGCTGGACTGGGCTGGACTGGGCTGGGCTGGACGGGGCTGGACGGGGCTAGACTGGGCTGGACTGGGCGGGACTAGACTGGACTAGGCTGGACTGGGCTGGACTAGGCTGGGCAGGGCTGGACTGAGTTGGACTGGGTTGGACGGGGCTTAACTGGGCTGGACTGGGCTGGGCTGGCCGGGGTTGGCTGGGGCTGGACTGAGTTGGACTGTGCTGGATTGGGCGGGACTAGACTGGACTGGGCTGGACTGGGCTGAACTGGGTTGGACTGGGCTGGGCTGGACTGGGCTGGATGGGGTTGGACTGGGCTGGATGAGGCTGCACGGGGCTGGACTGAGTTGGACTGGGCTGGACTGGGCTGGACTGGGCTGGGCTGGACGGGGCCGGGCCGGGCCGCTCGGGGTTAAGAGGACGGTGGGGTCGGGAGGCAGAGGACTTCAGGGGAGAGGGGCTTAGTCCGGGCCCTGGGGCGACGGGACAGCCGGCACAGCTCCGAGTGGATTCACTGGGCCTCCAAAGCCCGCGGGCCGTGAAGCCAGCCGCTCTCGGGGCGCACGGAGGGCAGGGCGCACGCGAAGAAGGTGCCGCCTCCACCCGCCGGCACCCGCCTGCCCCCGAGGCAGGCACCAGAGGCAGAGCGCAGGAGCCTGCGGGTGGCGGCGGGGGCGGGGCTCGGCCGGGGACTCCGCACTGGACGTGGGGGTTGCTGGGGCTCTCGGATTGGCCGGCGGCGGTGGGGGCGGGGCCGGCGGCGGTGGGGGCGGGGCCGGGAGCCGTCAGAACCTGGATGGAGACTGCGTGGGGAAGGTGCGCGGACCTGGCGCAGGTGGCGCGCGTCTTTGCTGGCGGGGCGGGGAGCGGGGGGCCGGAGGGCCGGGGGGCCGGGGGGCCGGGGGGCCGGGAGCCTGTCCCGCGTCGCGGGGGGGAGCCCGGGCCGCGTCGTCCCCAGGCACAGGTGTGCGGCGGGAGACCAAGTCCTGAATCCAGGACTCCTGCTGCCTCTCCCCGGGGTCTAGCGACCTCCCTCCAGCCACATCGGGTAGGGAAGGTGTCCAGACCTGTTCCAACCCCCCGCCCCTCCCACCAGCAGCTCTGCCCTCCCTTTATCTTCCTCCTTCCCTTTAAATATGCCTCCTCCCAGAGTCCGTTGGCGCTCAGCGCAGATCCCACCCGCCCCGTGATGCCCCAGTGGACGCCCCGACCCTCTGCGGGGTCTCTCAATAGGAGGAAGGAGGCGCAGGGAGCAGCGAGGCCACACGGTTGCCCCGGGTGCGCACCCCGCTCCGCACAGACACTGGGCCTCAGCGCTGCGCCCGGCCCCTAATGGGCCCCGAGACAGAGCTGTGAGCCAAGCAGACGCGGCCTCTGCTGTTCCTCGGTTTGCACACCAGACTGTGGCCCGGAGAGGAGGACACAGGTGGGAGGAAACGGCCAGCTTGTCCCCACGCTGGGGGTGCGGGTGATAAAGTTTGGCTTCAACCGTGGAATAAGGACGTTTGCAGAAATGTATTGGGGTTCAAGGTAATCACACCTGTAAAAACGGAAAATGATCAATGAACATCAATACCAAGAAGAAGAATTGCTGCCTTCTAGCTTCACACAAAGCAATATGCACACACCAACCCAAAAGTGACTTCTGTTTGGGAGGAAGGGGAAGAAATTAGGTGTCTGGCTCTATCCAGGAATCAACCATGAGGTTTCCTTACATGGCAAATGGCCTTTGGAATCTGAAGGAAGACATGGCCTCTTCTGGGCACGCCAGGTGTCCCCTCAGGATGGCGCAGTCAGCGTCCGCTAGAGGACAGCAGAGAGCTGCAGATGCTGGAGAGAAGAGCCCTGGATGAGTTCACCCCCCTCCAGAGGGCATGAGCAGCCTGTGAGGACAATGCCAGCAGCAGTGGCCTGGTTACTCCAAGCCAGGCATCCTTCTAAGGGCTTTAGAAGAAACGACTTCGTTTGGTGCTCCCACCAACCTATGACGGGGATGCCGGGGATGCCGGGGATGCCGGGGATGCCGGGGATGCCGTTGTGCTCACTCCATTCCACAGGTGAGGAAACGGGCTGAATAACTCGCCAAAGGACGCACGGCCAGTAAGTCCATGCCAGACGCGAACCCTGAAGTGGAGCTGTAGGGCCCGCACGCATCACGCCGTGCAGTTCTGTCCCTGTGAAGAGGGGCAGGATGGAGAACAGAGGAGGCCACCGAGGTCGCTGCCGGCATAACCCCCATGGGCTCTCCAAGGCCAGTGCCACAAGCAGGCACCAGACAAGGGCTCTTAGCTAATCGAGAACCTCGACTCCTCTGTCAAGTAAGGTCAGAAAATCTGAGCTTCCCACCCCCAGATGCCCCACATGCTTCACCAGGGATATACGGCACCAGTGAACCCCATCACCACCTGCAGCCGGACCCAGCCCTCCAGTGCCCCCACCATGGTGCACCCTTCCAACCACCGTGGCCTCTCAGGCTTAGACGTGTGAAGCTGGCTCCAACCGTCTGTTCCCCTGTCCCATAGGCAGCCCCCACCCCGCCTACCCCCATCATGGCCTGGCTCAGGCCTCCTCACTGCAAACAAGAAGGGGCTGTCCGAGAGGCTGGGGTCCAACAAAGATCAAGAGGACATTGGTGAGGATCCTGTTCAGGACAACCTTGAGGGGAGTTGAAGACCAGAACCCAGTCTTCTCTTGGTTTTCTTCTCTGCAGAGCTCCTGCTGTGTGCGCTCCCAGCGCTCACGGCACAGGTTGCAAGGGCATCTTGCTGGGTGCCCCGAAACAAGCCATTTATCCACCCTGCCTTCTGTTCTTTCCTCTTCCATAAACTGAGAGGTTGGAGACCAGGAGTTGTTAGCTGCGGACCGACATTGCGTGGGTTTGTCTGAGTACATCTGTCTAGATCAGGCCTTCTCAGACTTGGCAATGTTGATGTTTTAGCCTGGATCATTCTTTCTTGTGGGGGCCTGTCCTGGGCATTGTAGGATGTTTAACAACATCCGTGGCCTCTACCCACTAGATGCCAGTAGCGCCCCCTCCCTGTTGTAAGAGAAAAGTAATGTCTCCAAACATTGCCAAATGTGCCCTGGGGGTTCAGAAACACTGTAGAAGAGGGGCGCCTGGCTGGCTCCGTTGGTTAGGCCTCGGATCCTTGATTTTGGCTCAGGTCATGAGTGGGGCTACACACTGGGCGAGGAATCTGCTTAAGATTCTCTCTCTCTCCATCAAAAGAAAAGAAAAGAGGAACATTGTAGAAGAGCTGCAGGAAAGCCCTGGGCTAAACCGGCAAGTTCATCGGTGCCCCCTCCTGTACGATGAGGGGGTGTGGGGCTGCCCTGTGTAGGGTGAAATGAGGCGATTGGCAGGAAGTGCTCAGCCCTGTCATCTTCCTCATCCCTGACCTTCTGGAATTCTAAAGGGTCAACTGCCCACAGAGGGGCGGGGATGCCCCTTTTAAGAAAGAACCTGAAAAGACCCATTCTTACCCAAAGTTCTAAGGGAGGAGCACTTCAGGTGCCCTCTTTGAAGCCTTTCTGCCTGCCTCCCCCATCAGTGGCCAGGCTGGGAGGGGCGCAGGAGGGTGGCACGCTGCCATGGACCGTTTGGGAGAGGAAGAGGCAGGACCTCCTCTGGGCCCCGCTCTCTGTGAGCCCTGCCAAGGCCGCCCACACTTACTGCCTCTCTGGGGCCCCTTAGCCCTCGCCTGGCTGGCTGCCCTCCACCCCGGCACCCATGGACGCAGGCCCCCTCACCTGTGTCCCCAGGAAAGCCCCGAGGGGAAAGGGGCCAGCACTTGGTGGCAGATGTTGGAAGCCAGTCATCCTGCTTCCCAAGGCAAACCCCACATCCTTTCTCTCCTCTTCTTTGGCGGCCTTCATTAAGCTCTGCTGTGCGCCCAGCCCTACTGGAGGGGCCCGGAGGGCAGAGGCTGAGCTCCGTGGTGCGCTGAAAAATGTTTCACAGCCAGCCCTCTGGGATGGGGTGAGGGGCCCCAGTATGTGGCTCTTACTCATGTCTGTGGTGTCAGCATTCCTACCCTGACAGGTATCAAGGCACCCATCTGACGTTGATGAATGGCGAGTTGGCCCACATCCTTATATGGTGTGTGTCCACCCCCAGATACGATAGCCATAAATAGCCTAGGTTAGATAACAGTAAAATAATTGGGAAGTGATGCAGTTTTAGTGCGTATTTCCCTTTTTAAGAAAATGGTTTTCATTGTAAGTTTGTAAAATTAATTTCTAATGATGGCCGAGTTTAACAACCAGTTCAGAAAATTCCTAAAAATTGGGCAGCCCGGGTGGCTCAGCAGTTTAGTGCCACCTTCAGCCCAGGCCCTGATCCTGGAGACCCAGATTGAATCCCATGTTGGGATCCCTGCATGGAGCCTGCTCCTCCCTCTGCCTGTGTCTCTGCCTCTCTCTCTGTCTCTCATGAATGAATAAATAAATACTTAAAAAAAAAAAAGAAAAGAAAATTCCTAAAAAATTTAACCACGAGCTCGTGAAAGCCATTTGAAGCCAGCTCCAGCTCCCCACTAGGGATCAAATGAGGTCCAAGACCCCGAGATCACACCAGCTAACTAAGGAAGACAGGCCCACCCAGGGTGGGCCGCCAGCAGAGGAGAACCTGAGGAGGAGCTGACCCTACCCAGGCGTTCAAGGAGGGCTTCCTGGAGGAGGTGGTGTCACACAGAAATCTGAGGGAAGAGGATCCCAGCTAGGGGTGAGAGTGTACCAGTCTGAAGGGAGTGATGGCAAAAGACCAGGAGAGGAGAAAGTGCTTGGCGTGCACCAGAAACCAAAGCAAGAGGCCCAGTCCTGCTGAGCGGAAGGCTGGGCTCCTGTGCAGGGTCTTCTGTTGACACCTCTGTCCCTTGGGGCAAGTCCCCTCCCTTCTCCAGGCATCTTCCTTCTGTCGGACTGAGGCCTTGAGCCAGATGGCCGCCAGGCCTGTTGGCTGTCTAGAGCCCCCAGGGTCTTCGGAGGGGCCTGCGGTGGGGGGCGGGTGGAGGCAGCCCACATCCTGCCCTCTGCGGCCAAGTGTTCACCTCGCTTCCTTCTCCCTTCTAGCCAGCTCCCCCAGGTGATGCCCGAAACTCCTGGTTTGGCTGCTGACAGTAGCTCTAATTACAGTTATTTAGAGAGCAGTGTGCTGCGTCTCCTAATTACCAAGCTGCGCAACCCCAATTACATGTCTAAGGAAGCGTCTCGGGAGCCCCTTTCCCAGGGCCAGCCTGCCAGCTGCAGCCCCGGGCCAACCAGAAATGGGGGGGCAGGCTGGCATCTGCTGCCGGACCTCTCTCCATAGCTCCCTTCGTGCCAGACCACGCAGGAAATGCTGGTTCCGAGGCCTGCCCTGGGGCAGGGGAAGTGCCCCCCAAAGAGCACGGCTTGAGACCCCGAAGGGCCAGAGGCAGGAGGCCGCCATGCGCAGCAGGTGCGCTGGCCCCGGCCACCCACACGTCAGAGCTTGAGCCCGGGAAAGAGGCTCAACGTTTAGGAAGAGACCCCTTCCCGCGCCCCCCCGCCCCCCCCCCCCGCCTGAACTAGATGCAGACTCTCTGGCCTCGAGCCATCACCGCCCACTGCAAAACCCCCTCAGGAACAGCCCTCACCCTGCAGAGGGGTCATGCAGCCCTGCCTCACATGCCTGCCAGGACAGAGGACCCCAAGACGAAGCCTGTGTTCTCGTTGAGAGCTCCATTTACGAGAAAGAGAAGGCTCCCTTTGTGCAACGCCCGCCTCCAGGTCCCATGTCAACCCCCGGGCTACTGTGCCCTCCATCCTGGGGGTCTCGATGGGTGCTGTGCCCTTTGGCTGGGGAACCGTGCCTGGCTCCTCAGCCAAACCGGTTTCTAAGAGGACCCTGACCTGCAGCTCCCCAGGGCTTCTCCTGACGCTGGGCTGACGGTTCACAAGTGGCTCCCAGCCTGAGTCCCGAGCATTGCCGCCTCCCGCCTCCCACAGCCAGGCCATCCGGGGCCACCCACACCCACAGCCACACCATGCCCCAACCCAACCCCACGAGCTTCTTCTGCCCCTTTCCATCCAGCCCTCAAAGCCTCAAACTCTAGAACTTCCTTCTCCCAAGGATATTCAGATCCCATCCTCTGCCCCAGGACACCTGGTCCTGCCTGACTCAGGGCACCAGCCTCTGCCACCTAGAACCCTGCAAGGCCCCTAGCTGATCTCCCCACCGAGTCCCAAGAGGCAGGGGAGCCTGGAAATCAGGTACACAGCTCCATGGGTTCCCCTCCTGGCTCCCCTGCTCACAGCTGGGCTCCGGGCCTCGAGCAAGCTACTTAGCATCTCTGTGCTTCATTTCCTTAGTACTGGCACCTGTCTCCTCGGTGCCTGTGGGCAGGATGGTTCCCGAGGACTTCAGAGTGGCCAGTGGGGGACGGGGACAAGAGGGATAAAATGAGGCAGAGAGGGGCACTGGAGCCAGGTCTCAGGACTTCTGTGTTCGAATGAGGCCCAGGAACTTGCTCCTGAGATGAGTGGAGACCCTTCAGGGTAAAATCTCCTACCAACTTGGTATCTTAGATGGTGCCCAAGGGATGTCCTACCTTCTGTCCTACAGCAGCCGAGAGCCTGTCCAAGCGGGGTGTGGCTGCAGCCCCCACGTTGGCTCTAGAACCAGTGAGTGACGGAGCTCTGCATGGCACAGTCTTGCCTCTCTCACTACAGGGCACTGGGACGGGACACACTAACCCCTGGCCGGGGAGGGTGGGCCAGTGGCCAGGGCATGGCCCTGCCGGCAGGGGCCCGGGGGACAGTGGCCTCACATCCACCACCTATGAAGGCCTTTTGCAAACATATTATTAGCTTGTTTAATTCTCGTAACAGCCCCGGGAGCTGGGTGTCACTATCCCATTCGACTACGGGCTCACTGCACAGTGGTCCCCACATACCCACGTCCAGGCACCGTCCGTAGAAAGCCCCCCGTAAAGGCCACTTGGCCCACACTCAATCCTCCAGTTGTCACCAGCTGACTGGCTCCTCCGCCCAGGGGACAGACAGGACGGGCGGGGGGCGGGGGTCACAGCGGGCACCCCGGAGACAGCAGGGCAAGAGAAGTGGAGGTGGGGACAGAGGAGGCCAGCATGCTGGCAGGTGGCAGGCTTGCAGTACGGAGAGGGGCTGGTGACTCATGGACAGAGGAGCATTTCCTCCTGGAGCCGAAACCAGACTGGGAGCGCCAGACAGGGAAGGGCGGGAGGGAGGAGCACACATCCTGCAGGTAAGGGTCCAGGTCAGCATTTCCGGGAGGCACGGCGACCCTCCTGCTGCCTCATGCTGTCGTCAGAGTCCCCCGCCCTGGTGGCTTTACAGTCAGGACCTCCCACCCTGTTCCACTGCCACGGACACCCAGGTTCAGCCACTGTCACCCCTGCTGGGATGACCATAGGAGCTTCAAATCCCCGACGTCCTCCCACTTCTGAGGCTCCCATCCTGAGGCCAGGGAAGGCAGGCCTCCTGGGGTCCCCGTACCCACCCCAGCCACCCAGCTTCTCAGCTCCTCCTGCTTGCAGGCTCACAGGTGCCCGCTCCTCCGAGCCCTCTGCCTGGAATTCCCTCCCACCCCACACTTTGCCCATTCAGCACCTACTCTTCAGATTCAAGCCGAGTCATCTTCTCCTAGAAGACTTCCCCGACCCCCCAGCTAAGCCAGACGCCCCCATGATGTGTGCCCTGACCATACGCCCCCTCTGGAGCCCTGGCAGAAGCTGCATAGTGTCATGAGGTTTAGTCGTCTGGGCCGTGACCAGTGCCTGCCTCCCCCACCCGGTCAGAACTGGGCCTGGTATGGTCTCCGTTGTCTGCAGTATGGGGTGCAGGGCCAGGCACTCCCGGAACGTGCCCCGAATGAAGGGATGTAGTGGGTCCACAGCCCCTCACCGCCCACCCCACCGGGCCCCAGCTCCTCTCGGGGGCCCTTGTCATCTGCAGGCCCTGGAGCCTCCTGCTGATTGGTCTCTGTGGTGGGGACTGGGCACTCTGCCCCAGGCCCCAAGATCAAGGCCAGACTCAAGAGCCCTGTAAATTCCTCAGCAGGTGCCAGGATCGCCTCCGTGACACCACTTGCCATGACCTACCGACTCAGAGGAAGCCAGTCCTCCAGAACCCAGCCCTCCAAAAGGAGCAGCCCCCGCTGGAACCAGATGTCCAGAGAGGGTCAGGGCCCAGCCCAAGGTCACACAGCAAGGCTGCCACAGAACTACGCCAAGAATCCAGGGCACAGGCTCCGGCTTAGGGTGCTCCCCGCATATAATAAAAGTGACTATTTTTAGGAAGCTAATTAGCAAGTCAAATATGACTCCTGCTAATAATAATACCACCTTTATGCTTTTCAGTCTCTGCATCACCTCATTTGCTCCTGCAACAGCAGGGTAGTGAAGTAGGAGGTGAGCTCATTGGAGAGGTGTGGTCAGGAAAGAGGAAGTACTGGTCCTTGGCCAGTCCCCCCCAGCTCCGCTTAGTGATGCTCTCCACGACCACGGTGCCCCAGAGGCTCCCCTCTCCAGGGCCTGGCTCCGAGCCTCTCAGGAGAGGTGACCCCCACCCCACCCACCCCGCCGAAGTCAGCCTCCTGTTTGTCCCCCGTTCCCTGCTGGCTGCAGCCCCAAACCTGCCCCCTCCAGCTGCTGGGCTTCAGGTGGCCCCAAGAGAGGGTATCCCTGGAGAGATCTCGTCCCCTGCCAGCCTCCAGCACCTGTACAGGATAGTCCTGGGCAAAGAGGGCCGGGCAGACTCGCCGTACAGCCGGGTGCTCCCCAGCTTGGGACCCCGCTAGGATGGAGGACATCATCCCAGCAGGGGCTGGAGTCCGATCCATCCCCTCATCCCGCAGGCCCACCTCCTCCCTACTCCCTCCTCCCCGGCAGAAGCTTCTAGACATCAGCTGGCACCAGGCAGGGCCGGGTGGATGTAAGCATGAGGTCAGATCCTCGATTGCTTCCTGTGACCTTCCCGGAGGAAGGAGGAGGAAGGAGGGGCGTCCCACCAGGATGCAGCCGTGCTCTTCTGTCAGGGAAATGGGTCAGGGCAGAATGTGACGGGGCCCCCCCGTTTCTCAGACAGGCCACCGTGGCCTAGGCTGGAGGGCTGTGCCCCTTGCCTCTGGAAAGAGCCTGCGTGGAGCCCCAGGGGCCCAGCACCTGCCTGAGGGGGTGAGGTGTAGGTGTAGAGGTTGGTTCCCAGGAGTCTCAGCTCCCAGCACAAGGACCCCTTCC